GACCTTTGATTCTCCCCACTGCGTTAGGGAACGAGATTTCGCGTTCCGGTTTACCTGGGTCTCGCGGAGCCTGCGGATGCAAAGTTCAGTATGGTCTGAACGGTCAGGATGAGAGACCAAACCACCTGACCTCGGGTTCGCCGATCTCAGTGTCTCTATCAACGCCGAGAAGGAGGAGATCCTCCCAGAGATTTGCCATAGACGCCTGATAGATGCCCGTTCGAGTCTCGTCCGCATAAACAAGCAGCGAAGACCTTAGTCGATGACCAGAGTGGCGGCCAGTACGAGTTCAAAGCGCGATGCGAGTAAAGCTCTTTGCGCGCCAAAGTCTGCTCCTCTGTGCGGACAAAGTCAGTGAATACCTTTCATAGCGAAATGTCCGGAACGTACATTTAGAGCGCATGATGAGGTCAAGCCAAAGTCTGCTCCTCTGTGCGGACAAAGTCAGTGAATGCCTCTCATAGCGAAATGTCCGGAACGTACATTTGGAGCGCATGATGAGATCAAGACGTCTGTCTCGGTGACGTGTGGACGATGCGCATTCAGATTTCGATGAGCAAGGTAGACATAGAGACCACATGTCGCCGTTGAAGTAGTGAGACTCGGCAGGCTCACTGCAAGCAGACGGGGAAGAAACCGGTCGAAGATCGGCAAGGGGTAGATGAAAATTGCGAGGAAGGGCGTGCTCGGGCAACGCACAAAGAGTAGAGGTCCCCATGCACAGCTTCACAGCTGCTCTGAGAATCGACACCCTCGGTACGGTACCGGCATCTTCGAAGGAGACATGGTCGTCGTTGCTCAAACGCAACACAGCGCAGTCGAGAAGACCCGGATCGGGAACCCACGTGTTCGCAGCGTGTTCGCATCAAGAGACGGAGGTCAGCAACCACCCTGTTCTCGGCCTCAATGTTGACGTTGACCGCCGCGGCGATATCACCCCATCTAAACGTATCCTCTGCACTCTACTGCAAAGGTGAGACTGAATCATCTGACCATAGCTCACGCTCATACCCTTTCAATCGCCGCCCAGAACACCAGCATTTGAGCGGACATGTCTTACGCTGTTCGTCACCGCTTCCTATCGTATGGTTGATCTCTACGACCATTGATGACCCACCGTCCCGAAAGTAGGTCACGGCTATACCCAAGGTCTTTTCCAATCGGAAGGGTCAAAGCTGATGTTTTCGTTTACTCTTCGTACAGGAACTTCAGCCACCATGCACCACCCCATCTCCGCTCGGCCCATCATCGTCGTCGTATAGCAGTGCACCTTGCGCGCACCTTCAATGTAATTATCCCTTTCTTACCGATGTCTGGCTTACACAATGGTTTATTTTCTGCACCGTCGCTTCGCACTGGCAGACGATGCGTACCGCGACGCACTGTCCGCCGCTTTACCATGGAGCTATTGTAAGCTTTCCGACCGCATGCAGCTGGTGTACTGTGCTCGAGGACCCAGCATGTTCATACCAAAGGACAGACTGTGTGCAATGTATGCAGCCTTGCCAGGATGCTTCGAAGTAAAACCTGACCCGTTTAGACAAAGACAACCGATCTGAAACTGTGCAATCCGATGACCCGGAGTGTCTTGTGTGATCATGAGTTCCTTGAGAACACGATCGCGTGCGTCTAGACATTTATGATAGCAACTGGCGATCTAGCCTTTACGGAATTCAATCGACCGACATCCGTTTTCACATAGGTGAAGGATGTGAAACACCAAAGTCGTACAAACGATCAGTAGGCACAGCGCCGGCGATGTAGGATTCTCATCAGCACTGCGCGTCGGGTCAGAGGTCATCACTCGAGCTGCTTAAAGCTGAAGGCTCCCCTTCCCCCTTTTTGGCCGTGACATCTCTTCTTCAGACATTGTCCGGCTTGCATTCGACTACATTATCTCCTGCTCTCTCCTGTCTATCCGCTCCGTCGCAATGTCTTCGCATAACTTCTCGCATCGTCCAGACTTTTCGCACCGACCGGGATTCTACAAGACGGTCCCTTGCAGGGTGAGTCTGACCGTACCACTTCACGCATCTACTCATCGACGATACGGTCTCTAGTATTTCGACTTTTATACAGGACAAGAGCTTTATCCGCGATGCCATCTGGGCTCTCTGTGCGGGTAGGAAGAACCAGTGTCGCTACTCTGGCATCTCAAAGAGCGACACACAGGTACATCCACCCTACCGATCCGCAATGGGTGCATCGTAGGGTGTCCCTCAATCAATCTCAGCAGCAAGTTACAAAGCCATACTTTCCTCGCGGGCATACACCCCTGCTTTCATCTCGTACCATTCCCGTGCATGCGCCTGCAACTCGGAATACGCATGCAGTGCCATCACGTCCACCGCCTGAGCGCCCTCGAGGAATCAAGCCTGACCCTGACATCCACATCGAACACTCAGTGCGGCGAGAATTGCATGATGAGCCCCAGCGCAGGCAGTCCCTAGAGCGCGCGTCGGTCGCTGGTATCGACCCGCGGCGCAGAGAGTGGGCCCGTTCCCCGCCCACGAATTACAACTGGCGCTTTCCAAATCAAATGGATAGAGTACGGCGAACTCTCTCACTAAATCTTCATCCTTTCTGACGCATCTCAGTATCCCCATCATAGGCACCAAGATCATGCGAAGGAGGAGCGCTCTGTCGACCCAATCCTCCCAGGAGATCGACACGTTTCCGTCAACTCACACACGTCACGCCCGGCAGTGAGAGGTGTGGCCTCATTTGTTCATTCATCGCCTCTTGTGATTCTGACCAACTCCGTTAGCTGCTGCATCTCCCGAGCGTCATATCATGCCGGCCCATGTGCCTGTGAGCGACATTGGTAGCACCGACACTGCCACTCGGCAGCCACCGCCCAAACTTAGCAGCACCGAAGTCACTGAAAGGTTTATCAAGTCTTTCAGAATGATAGCAGAGTGAGTGGAGCAATTCTTGCTGTGACAACACTGACATCCTTTAGGACACTGGCGCAGGTTGTGGTGGATACGGCGGCGTATGGCAAGGAGGAGGAGAAGCTCAAAACATACAACAGCCTTGCTTCGGCGTTGGACAAGGTATCTCCTGCGGCAGTGCAAGTTATCATACCGTCGATCGAGCTCGTCACGGCTGCGCGTGAACAACAGCGCGAGAAGATAGAACAAAGCTATTCTCGGTTAACACACGTTTGGGAGGATGGTGGGTCATCTCTTTGTCTTCTTGCAGTCGACCAATGCTGACTCGGCCTAGTGCTTGCGCTACTTGCTGCCCGCACGGCGGACACGATCGGTGATGCAGCTGATAGCGCTGCCGTTCGATTGCGTGGCGAAGGTGGTACACAAGTCGAACGCATCCTTACCTCAGCGGGTGTGCAGATCAAGAGGATCGTGCGGACCGCGCAGAACGAGAGGGAATTGACTTCTCACCTGACTCGGACGACACAACACGAGGGACATACTTCACAAAAGCGAAAGTGTGATGGCGAGTGTGGTTGGCAGGAGAGACCTCACCCAAGTTCCGCTATTCATCCAGAACCGGCTAGCAAGCGGTCTAGACATGAGACTGAGTGTGCGAGTCCCATGGAGCGTAAGTAAATAGCTGAGCCGATGTAGAATATGGATGGTTGGACTGTTCATCGTGATGGTTATAGCTGTACATACTCTTCACCTGCATATCTCCATATGCCGTCAATTAACAAGGAAACACTGCCTATATTACCCTACTCTGGTACCTCGGTGGTCTCGGAAGGTATCGGCTATCACCGTGAGATCATCGATTACAGTCGTTTTCAATGAAGTGCGGAAACACGAATCGCGTCGATGAGCCTCGGAAACACGAATCGTGTCGACGCGCCTCGGAAGCACGGCCCAGAGCCGACGCGTCCCCAGGTTCGATCCCGAGCTGCCGACGAAGTATTACTGGCAGCGTATTCATGCTCAGACCTCCTAGTTGTTTTGACAATAGGTTTCATAACCCTTCGAGACAGTAGAGTGAATTTTGCATGCAGATTTATAGGCCTAGGAGAGAGGCATAAATCATACAGTTGAGTGGGAGCACTGAGAATCGAACCCGCTCCGTCGTGGAGGCGCATTTGGCGCTGGCCCACGCCTTCTGGGAGGTCGCGGCGCGATTCGCGATTCCGCACTTCATTGAAAACGGCTGTAACCGCATTTTCTTCTGTTTGGGGAGGCAGAGAAAACTCGAACGCCTCGATGAGCGTCGCGGCAATTGCTTGCATCTCGTAGACACTAGAGATGCGCTCATCAACGATAACTAGAGTGATTCAAAAGACACGACATACGCGAATTTCCATCCAAGACAGTTACGGATACCTCCAGCTGTCAGAGATCATGTGAGCAAGATAGTACTGAAGTAAGAGAATCGCCTCTCACAGAAGTTGAGTAAGTTCGCGAATACCCCGACAGAAGCGGCGTGTTCTGACTTGGTGGCCTGAGTGAACCGATCCGGGTTCCACACATGAGCATCCCTGCCCCAAACGTCTGGATTACTGAGGTACATAGCGTGGTCAGCTTCAGTCTTACTGCACTTGAAAGATGTCAGTAGACAGACCGGTTATATGCAGAGATGGATATCTCGATGTCCTGGCCGTTGCGTACAGGAATGGACGAGATCTTGTCTCCAGATTGGGTTAGGATTGGTGTCGAAAGCGGGATAACGTCGTCTTGCCCCGCCGTGCGATTGAGCAGCCACACAATGGGATGCAACCGCATTGCCTCCTTGAGCGTTGCTTGCATGACAGACATGCTCTCAAGGTCGCTGATCGCGAGCTCCTCGTCACCGCGTTCCCGGAACTTGCTGCGCATAGCGCGCACTTCTTCGCGCACACGGTGCTGCCAGTCTGGATGACAAGACAATTCGTATAGCCACCATGATATGGTTGTGCCGGTTGTATCATGTCCTGCCTTGCATTCAGGATTAGTGATCAAGACAGCACGGGAGAATGAAGCGCATACGAGCAACACGGTGCTGTATGACAGTAATCAGCATTGTCGGGCCGGTAGGCCATGCATCACGAGTGTACTCACGAGATCTGAGCGACAACTTCATCCTCGCTAAGCTTGTGCCGGCCGTCTTCTGCTGCATTGGCACGCAACAGTACGCTCATCACATCCTTTCCAGCGCCCTTAGTCTCCATCTGTGTCTGCGCAATGAGTTGGCGCCCGTAAGGGCCGATAAAATCTTGGTAACGGCGGTAACGACTATAACCGCGGCTTGGCACATAGCGGAGATAGTATGACACCCGAAGAGGAAGATCTTTGCACAGATAGCGAAAGACCATGTCCCAGCGAGGAAGATAGAGAGAGCTGTTGACACTGAAAGGGGTCAGCTTATGCGGATGCCCGCCTGAAGGCACGCACTATAGCCCCCTGTACACTTTAGAGAGTTCATTGTTGGCCTCGTCCAGTGCCCCAAAACGGAAGCCAAAGCCAGCTGGAAATGCTCTCAGAGACCACTCTAATGCAGAAGACTATCAGAGATCAAAGACTCACCATCCCCTATGATGTCGAGCGTAGTACGCGAAAGCCATTTATGCATGTTGACGAGAGGCTCTGCATCCGTCGAGCTTGCCATCTCATCCTCCTTCAATTTCTTCACCAACTGTATACGCGATGGATCAGACCCAGCGCCAGATCTCATCGATGTGTGAGTGAATGCACCTTATTGGCATAGCCCAAGAAGAGGGGAAGATAGGATTTGAGTTGCGCCGTAGAGTACGCGGGATCTATGATTCTCCTTTGCCGTTTGTGTTGCTCTCCTGTATACGCCGACGTCAGCTCGGCCTGGGAGACGAATGAACTATACTCACCATGGGCCCACGCGAGTCCATCACCTAGCCTCATGCGCTGTTGCGCTCTCCAATCCCCTCGTTTTGGGAAGCGGTAACCCGATGTTTGCAGCACATATTGCAAAGCCTTTGGGTCCGCAAGCATCAGTCTCTCGGACTGATAGTGGGATGAGATCGTCTGACGCGCAGCAATGTAATAACGGCGACCTACACCCAAAGGTCCGTGTATCTTCCATGCCCCTCCATATTCGCGCAGCCACGGAAACTCTGCGTCACCCACTTCGTCCTGATACCGAAGATCAGCTTCATTCCCTGTGCAACCTCTTTAGCCCTGATATAGACAGCTGTGACAAAAACACTCACCAAGCCAAAACGACGAGCTTGAGGGGCCGCGGATGTCCCGAAGGGTGCTCCGCGACCAGATGAATGCGGCTCTGACGATGAGCAGTACAGTCACTAAAGCTATACAATATATGGGCCAGTCGTTGAGCATATCCATGATATGTGCTCTGTACTGCAGGTCCACGCGCTATATATGACACTGAGAAAGCGCCCACGAGAAGAACGCGTGGGTCTCCGTCATTGGGGGTCTGAACGACTGTACAGATTGGCGGAGCACATGAGTTGATGACGGTCGCACAGAAGCTTAGAGCGCGCACTCTAACCACTTTCCGGGCGTGCAAAGAGGCCGAGTGAACGTCAAGGGGTCACACTCTTAGCGCACAAGAAGCACCAAAGCAATGAGCTTAGAGAGACGGGTATAGCATTTCGAAATGTCCCGGTCGCTCTGAGTAGGGATCGTAGACAGCAACAGCTGACCAACGAGCCCCTGTCCTTTATCCAGCGTAGTTTATACTGATTAAGTATGAGCCAGGCAGCCGACTGAGATATGGCTGCACTGACATCGCTCGGGCGAGTCCGGACTCCGTGGGCACCCTCGTGAACATGGAGGGAGAAGGGAACTAGAGGGGAACTCTGTCCCTTCGGAATGTTCCCGGAAGAACGGCCCGAATGTTGCCGAACAGCGCTTATTGGCTCCTCAGCGTCGGGCAAACATTGAGTAGTTACTTGTAGTATCCACGATAACTCCGGCGGCCATAGCAGACATTGTCAAAGCTCGTGCATTTCCAGTAGTAGATTGGCTCATTTATCCTGTATGGAGCGTTCCAAAGCTAATCGCATATCCTTCTCAAATGAGGACCCATCTTCGTCTTGAACGGTGGCGGCCGACGATTCATCTCCATCAGGCGAGTCTGCATATTTGGGGTCAAATGCGGCGGCTGCCTGTCCAAACTCAGCCTCGCCATCCTCCTTCTCCTCCTCGAGCACCTTCACGGCGTCCTCTTGTAGTCGCTTCTTTCTTTCCTCGACCGTCTTCTTCAGCTCATGCCAGCGACGGAGTACATCCTTCCTCTCTTTCGGCGTGCTTTGGCTCACAGCCTGTACGCCTTCCTCCTTGCGAGTGTCAGAGATGACGCGCAGGTGCGGCGCTTGGCGAGTGCCACCCATCGAGGCCGCAGATTGCCAGGCCCCTCGTAGCGGACTGGCGACAAGTCCCACGATACCTGCAGCAGGGCGCATCGTCGCGTTGACGACTAACCATATCAATCAGTATCTCATAACACGGCATGTGGCTTGTCACTCACAACTACGAGCAGACCCTTTGACAAAGCCGGCAAAGCCCTAGACGTATTGTCATCAGCTCTCCCGTGGCCAACACCCGATGCCTGTACATACCTCCTTCTTCGCACCCTGCATGGGCTCTTTGACTAAACCCGTTATACCATCGTAGTACCCATAGAAGAAGTCCTGCAACACTTTCAGACTACTGCAAGAACTGTGAGATGCGTTCAGCATACCTTGCCAGCCTTCTTCACCCCACTCTGGAAACCGGTGATCTCACCCGTGTCTCGCACTTCGGATCCGTATAACGCCGGTACATTCACGAAACCCTCGTGTATGCTGACGACGATCTTCATAACGCCCTTAGGGATAGCAACAGCGGTGTTGATGATGCCCTTCTTTGGATTGCTAGAGGAATAGATGATGTTATGGTGAGCGCTTGCTTCTTTAGCGCGTGATGGGCGGCACGCACTAAAAGATCTGTGCAATCCCGCCGTACCAATGCGTCACCGTCCGGAAGATGGCGGACGAGCCGCCGGTGATGGGATCCGATATCTTGCGGAGAACGCTGTACTCTTTGGGACCTGTCAAGGGTAGAGAGTATGTCAGCAAAGCTCGGGATATACAGGGTCAATGACGCACGATGAAGGTCGAGGTCTTCAGGCCGTAACTCTTTGGAGTCAATCAGGGCCTGCGCGGCAAACGCGCTCATCTTCAAACACTACACCGTTCGGTCATAGTTAGCGGGAGGTCATCCATCGGTCACATAAGTTTGTCGACTGACATGTTTGGTAGACCACCATACAGCGACTCTCCCCGGATCCAAGTCACACCTACAGTCCGTCAGTATTATCGATGTTCGAACACGTCTTGAATGTGACAGTACCGCATGTTAAGAAGAGGCAAATGTTTATAGAAGGACATGACGCCGTCATGAACGCCATTTTCCCCGCGAATCTGCGCACCCATCCGCTCTGCCGCCGCTTTTGCCCGCGCAGTGGTGCAGAACTTCAGGGCATCAGCCAGTCTCTCTGCACTAAGCTCCTTGTGGGGGATGGGGGCTGGACCAGCGCCACCTCTATGAACCATATCTCCTGCACAGGCGCTTGAGTACACGCTTGCACACAAACTGATGAGACGCACCCCAGAACGGCTGGTCACCGAAGAATGGAACGATCATAGTCGGCTTTCCCGCGTAGAGCCCGGCTGCGGTGGTCCCAGCACCACCATGATGACATACGGCCGCTACGCGCGTGAAAAGCCAGTCGTGCGGGACACTGATGTTCCCGAGGATGAAGACGTTGGGCGGTACAGGTGTGCTACTGGACAGACCGCCCCATCCGGCGGAGATGAGCGCGCGGATGTTCGATTTCGCGACCGCCGCGAGGATTGTATCTGGCGATGGATTAAGTATGAGAAGAGTGGAGTGGATGAAGAGAACGGACTGGTCATTCCAGAGGGATCATCGACGACGACAGAACCGAACCTGAGCAGTCTATTAGCACGATCTTGATGCCAGATGGGAAGTTTGCCTACCCGATGTAGACAGGTGGCGGGCCCGCCGCCAGGAAGTCGGCAAGTTCCTTGGGAGGTTTGTATCCGGAGTCGGGGTGGATGAAGTAGAAGCCGACGATGTCTGTTGACAACTGTAGTCAGATGGGCGCTGGTAATCGAAAATCGTAGCATCGAGTTTACCGATATGGTTCTTCCAATCGTCCGGTCGTGGAACAAGTGATGGACTGAGGCAATACGTCCACGGAATCTTCAGTCGGTCTACGAGTCCTGGACCTGAGCGCAGGGAGAGTGACTGAGTTCCGAGAGCACGTTTGCGCCAATCATTGATGATGTCTCCAATCCTGGAGTGTCCGTGAGCTACTTCGACGCAGACGCGAGAATGTGAAAGAAGTACGACGCACCCTTGCCAAGTCATCATATCGGCGAGTGCATAGGATAAGTAGTTCGTGAGACCTTGCTGCGCGTTCGACTGCTTAATATTCACGAGCGGGTGCGGGAATGCAGTGGTTGGACACCTAGGCGCCGGCTCAGCTTCGGTGCATGAGACCACTTTCATTGCGAGAGAGCGCGCACCATGGCATAGCTATACAACAAGAAAATCAGTCAGCATGCGTGTACCTGATGATGCAGGACGAAGCAAAGACTCGCTGAAGCTGAGTAGAAGCGGTACGCCAAGGGCTTCCGCGCAGTGCACATGCGCGAACGCGGGTGGATTCGAGATGATGGCGTCCGCAGCAAAAGGTTCATCTGTCGTCTCGTCCGGGAGGTAGCATGCCTTCCAGCAACCCTCAAGCATCTAAGAGCCACAGTCGACTATGATAAGCGATCTCGATGGCGCTCTCAGTGTAGCTCCCGCGTACCTCACCCAACATAGTGCGTTTCCTTCCGATATCGCCATTGCGTAGGGATTCAAAACCCGGCATCAGTCCAGGGTCTGCAGATTCGGGCTGAGTTCTGTCCAAGCATCTATATGTAAGTGGACTCACTCTTAACCATGTAACTCATGAGATCCTGCGGGTTGCCTCCGATACTGAAGAACTCAAGCCCTGCATCACGCACGAACTTGTCGAAGGTAGCATGCGTCGCAATCCGCACACGGTGTCCGTGTTGTTGTAACCTCTGACCGAGGGCAATGAAAGGTTGCACGTCGCCTATGCGCAGGACTGGGTTAGTACCAGTCCCCAAGGTAGATGCCTAGTAGCGGCGTACCTCGACTGCCTACGATCATGATCACTATACTCAACGCGGGTACAGCGGTGTAGTCCTTCTTATCGATGGCAAACTCCTTGACATCTTGTGCGTAGTCTGCGGGAAGTTCGGGCAGCGCCTTCTTGAGATTGAGCGAGACGGATATGCGTCCGTCTTCTAGCACACGCGCGGAGGAGGCGAGGCCCTCTCCAGATGCAATATATTCCGCATACTCTATCGGGGTACAATTAATAACGTGACATAGAAGATCCGAATGCATAAGGGCCTACTGATTCCCGGGTCTGTACGGATGTGTCCGATGACGACCTCGTCGTCGCCCACGTCGTCACCAGGCTTGGCCTCCTTTTCTTGTAGATGAAATGGTTTCTTGTGGGGTGAAGGCATCGTGGGCAAGGGCAGGATACAGCTGAATACGTAGGTGAAGCTCTTATGCAACTTGGGCTACTCCAACTTGACTGGAGCGGGGCGAACTCCGCTGACGACGAAGTCAGGTTTAAGCTCAACAAAACGATACGATAATATCGGGTGCTCGGATTCATGGACATGAATAGATGGGCAGCATGCATTGGCCGACTTCGAGGTCGCTCTGTCCTCAGGCCTCATCGCTCGTGATGGTTGTGGTCAAGGACGAAGCACGCGCGACTCGGGACGCATTCAGGCACGCCGCGCGTCACTTCCACGCGAATCAACAACGCGTCAACAATGCACCCGGCCCGCGAACCCGACCGCGTACCCGCCCAGTGGTAGGCCCCTCATGCAAGACCTCGTTGAGCAAGCTAAGCCATGTACGAGACGGATCTTTTTCCGTACACGCGCGACATAGGGTACTGTTTGCGAGTCCTAGCGTACGTATATACAAGGCAAAATCAGACAATTCGTCAGAGCTGGACAGCTGGTTACAGCGTAGCGCTCATCGGTTCACATCTTGCAATCGATCATGACGCGTTTCTGCAGTCCTTGACCTTCAACCCCATCCAAGCGCCAGGATGGCCGTCTGCCATGGGCGCCATGATCCCCGTCGGTTTGCGCCTGACGACGTTCTCCTTGGTTTGCGGCGGAAGAGCAAACTCGAAGTTCTCGATCAAGGTGGCTGCGATAGCTTGCATCTCAATCACAGCAAATTTCCACCCTGGAGATCATGTCAGCTCTTCTTTCCGCCGGAGCGATAGTCACTCCATGTATCACCTATGCAACCACGGATTCCGGCGGCTATAAAGGCAATCGTCAGCTACACCATCGCACTGTATTGAATTAAGGGCAGCATACAGAAGTTAAGCAGGTTCGCATACAAGTCAACGGGCGTCATTCCTTCCTTCTCGAGCTTCATGAACCGATCGGGGTTCCATGCATCTGCATCAGCGCCCCAGACCTCAGGATTACTGGTACGACAATGTCAACATACATACAATCAATTCGTGGCGATAGATAGCCCATACCGCTGGTACGAGGCTATGCCTATCTCAACCGCCTGGCCCTTGCGAACCGGAATAGATTTGATCTGCTCTCCCGATTTCGTCACTATGGGATGAGCAAGTGGTATCACGTCGTCTTGACCGGCCTCGCGCTCAAGAAACTGAAGAATTGGATGCAATCGCATGGCCTCCTTCAGTGTCAGGTGCATGATTGACATTCCTTCGAGATCGGCTAGGGAGAATCCGGAGTCGCCGCGTTCCTCTAGCTTGCGACGCGCCGCACGGATCTCCTCGCGTACGCGTGTCTGCCAGTCCGGGTGTTTGCCGAGCTCCCATAGCCAGAAGGCCATAGTCGCCGATGTGGTGTCATGGCCGGCCTGCGTGCATTGAGCGAGCATCCATAAGGAAAGCATATCTACCAACCAGAATGATATCACTGTACAGGGCTCAGCAGACGAGAGCGGTGTCTTGAATACAAAGAAAGAGACTCACGAGATCTGGTCAACGAGCTCGCGGTCGCTCAGTTTCATGTTCATATCTTCAGCACCATTAGCACGCAGAAGCACGCTCGTGATGTCTTTGCTCGTAGCCTCATTATCGACTCGAGTCTGCGCGATGAGCTCGCGTCCAAATTTCCGAATGTAGTCCATATAGGTTCGGAAGCGGCTAGCCTCCCGGTTCGGCATATAGCGCAAGAGCGAGAGTATGTTGACCGGTATGGGATTCCAGAGATTGCGGAACACCAGGTACCATGGTGCTGGGTATAGCGTGCTATCGATACTGTGCTTGCAAGTTCAGTTCCATCTTCAGATTCGAGCGCCGGAATAACGTACAAAAGTCCACTATACGCGTCACTCAGTTCGCTCTTCACATTGTCCAATGAGCCGAAATGGAAGCCGAGGCCCGCTGAGAACGGTCCAGTTACTCGCTCTACATGCTAGTTGGGAAGAAGACACTCACCGTCGCCTATGACATCAAGAGTCGTACGCGAGAGCCAAGAATGAACGTTAACGATGGGTTCGACGGCACCTGCTCCAGGCGTGATCTCCTCTTCCTTCCACTTTTGAACGAGCTGCAGTCAAAACACATGTCAGATGTGTCGCCGCTGTAATAGTCTCACACTGACCTTTTCAGAATAACCGAGGAACACAGGTAAGAAGGACTTCAGCTGCGGTAAGGAGAAAGCCGGGTTCATGATCTTCCGATGACGGCGATGCTGTTCGCCTGCGCTTGCAGTCGGAACGCTTACAGTACGTGTTCTGGGAGGGATGCATACCATGGGCCCAGATGATACCGTCTCCGAGGAACATGCGAATCTCACCGCGGCTCGATGCACGCTTGGGATAGCGATAGCCGGAAGTCTGAAGCACGTATTGCAAGGCTTTGGGGTCGGCAAGGAACAGACAGTCACCCTGGAAGGTTCATCAGATTCACCACCCAGCGCTATACACGTCCGCTCACGTACGCCTAGTGGATAGTGGACCTTCCAGGCTCCACCGAACTCTTTGAGCCATTTGAACTCCACGTCCCCGACCTCATTTTGGTACTTGAAGTCGCCTTGATTACCTGGAGAGCTGTGAGTTTCACGTTTGGAAGACGATGGAGTGTCCCATCGACGAACCTAGCCAGAATGACGAGCGAGGCGGTCCACGGATGTCTCTGAGCGAGGGGCGACGGAGGTAGCGAATCGCCACGAACAGGAAGAGACAACACGCCCCGGCGTAGTAGTACAGTTGAGAATTGAGGAGAAAGCTTGAAGGCATGGTTAACACCTTTCCAGACTGCAGGTGGCTCCCGTAGATATACGCTGCAATCACACAGCCATAAGTGAACAGCAGTCCGGGCCGCATCGCACGATCTTCTGAAGAGGATCAGTCAGCACCAATACAGCCCTCCACGATTTGAAATTGGTATGACACTCTGGGTTACTGGGCGGCAACAATACGCGCACTCCTTTAGAACGTGAGATACATAGAATGAGGAATCGAGGGGACGCACAGAACATCGGGAAATTGAGCGCAACATATAAATATGCCGACGACGTAGGCTTGCAATCCTACACGGGACTATAATTTAAAGGTCGGCGGCTGCGCCGCGACCCTTTTGCACTCAAAAAAAAAAAAAAA